ATATTAACTCCACAAGCAACATATTCCATTTATCATTTATATAATAACAATAAAAATGCCTTTCAATATCCTATCAGAAGAGCCCAATAAATTTAAAAGGTCGGCCAAGAAGGTTTCGTGAGCTGACCGCAATTATTGTAGTATCATCAACTGTCTTTGTTAGTATTAAATTAGTAGCCACCGACTGAAATAGATCTTTATTAAAAATCAACTCTTAAACAAAGATCTCCAATAAACCGTGGTTCTAGAAGAAGAAAATAAAACCCGGTTTCCGTATCGGTTTTCCAAGTAGGTATTTCGAGGTTTTTCATAGCATCCATGATTAAAATCATACAATCACAAAACTAATTAGTCCAGTTTTTATTTTTCATAAATGTTCTAATCAATATTCAGCTATCAAATATTTTAATAATTAGAGCAAATATTTAAATCATTAAAATATAAATTGAAGCGATTCAAATCAACTTTTCTACTTATACGCAAATAATCCTAGGTTTGGTAGCCAAATCGTACCTATCCGCAAACAAACAAAATGTCCCGAAAGATGCCGTGCTCTGGAAGATAGGCGGCGAATTTGCAGATTTAGGAGGTTCGAAAAGTAACAAAAGGTTTCCGGCGAGCGTACCTGGACGCTGGAGAAGCGCGGATGGCGGACAAGCGTTGCCTCGAGGCCGGCCTTCATCTCTTCAGCGCCAATGAATTTTCCCAAGCCCAAGATCGTTATGATGTGGCAGTCGAACCGAGGTTGCCGGAAAAAATTCGCCGCCGGACTAAGCGGTATCCCCTTCCCAGCCGTCGCAGCCACCATCTCTTCCTCCGTCGCCGGAGATATGAAACGCAAACTCGGAATTTTTACCGCAAGAGGATTTTTTCTGTGCATCTTCGTGGCGCCTGCTGCCGTCTCGAGCTTGGTTCAGTGTAAATTGGGGAGCAGGAAGGGATGCCAAGAAATAGTTCTGGACGAAACAAAACTGCGGGCACATGTTGATGCCAACTGTCACTCTTTTGAAGATATCGCCCGCTCAGTGACAAAATTGGACCATTGCTAATACTGATTTTTTTTTGTCGGATCGGCATTGTAAATATTTTATTTATTTGCCTGACATATGTAACATACATCATAAAAAATAAATATTTAATGTATGCTATGCAAATCTTTGCAACGAAAAAATTAGTTAAAAGAAATATACTGCGCACAAGACAATAGAGCTACTGCGTAAACAAATTTAAAAGAGAAAAAAAGCTGTACCGTTTGTCCGTGTGTTGTTACAATAAAAGTTATAAAATAACCATCGATTAGGGGATATAATTTAGTTAGCAATAGCTATTAAGTAAGTAGGCTATCATAAAAATAGTTGGGCTGCATCAATTTCGAGTGGGTTGTTGCGATCATAATTGGGTTAAATAATCGAGGTTAGGCTGCGACGGTCATAACTAGACTGCAACAATCGCTAATGGTCGTTGACGATTGTTTGTGATTGCTGGCTTCCAGCCTTTTCGAATGCAGGCTTAATTTTTTGCTCTTTCATCAGTTCTTTCTATCAAGAATGGGTTTATTCCTAGTTTTTTATATGAGTGTTGTGTTAAATTTAGCTAAAATCTTAAAATTGTCAGTCGAATGGGCAATGTTTATTCCTTCAATTATAGGTCATATTTTTGCTATTTAAATGTTTTAACGACATTAGAATTAAATGGTTTTGGGCTCATTTGATTTCTCTCATCAAGCCACTCAATGTGATTGTAGGTATAAGTATCATTTGACCGTCTAATTAATGCTTTAAAATTTCCAGTTATACCTTAATTACCTGATTTCGACTCATTTGAACTCGAATTGATTCAATATTGAAGTTGGGATGTTTATATTATTGAAATATTCAATTTAGCGATAAATTTATTGAAATTGGTGCTCTTGTAATCTTTAATTTGAGTCTTAAAAATATCATTCAAGGTGTATCAAGATTCATACCTGATTATGTAATTTTTTTTGTGACATATCAAATGTCTTCTATTTTTTTAACGTTGAGGCTTGTGTCATTTAAAATATATATAAAGCACTTAAAAAATTGTGTCCTAAAAATTATAATTTTAAAAATATTACAAGTCACGATCACTCCATTGACGTCAACATGGACCTCCTCTTTAACCCACGAATCAAGTAAAGTCTAGTTATTTAGGGCCAAAATTATTAAAAAAAATTTAAATTTTTTAAATTATCAAAAATTGATTATAGATGTTTTTTTGAGCTACACGCACAATAGGCCGCAATCATACACGCATATTCATGCCAAAATGGTTTGTGCATGTGGAAGCTTTGCATGTAGGCACTAACAAATGAAAAACACGCTTGTGTGTGTGCACATGTAGGTGCGTCCACACAAGTACAAATTAGTGAGTGCAAGTATGCATGGGCATGCACGACAAATGAACAATTGTTAAGAGACATGCTGAACTATTATTTACAAATTAATATTGTCTGGTTATTGTTTGCAAGATACTATTGTCTCCTTAACACACCTAAGTTTTGTTACTTGATTATCATCTTAAAGTTATTATTGCCTAATAATCATCAACATGTTTTTATTGCCAATTTTATTTTTAAATTGCTATTGTATGGTTATCACATTCAGATTATTGTTCCTTAATTATCATCGTCGGGTTACTATTTTGTAATTACAAACTCCAAGTCAACATGTTTTTATTGCCAATTTTATTTTTAAATTGTTATTGCATGGTTATCATATTCAGATTATTGTTCCTTAATTATCATCTTCGGGTTACTATTTTGTAATTACAAACTACAAGCTATTTTTACCTAATTATTATTATCTCAATATCATCTCTATATTATTATAATTTAATTATCATCTGCAACCTATTATTGCCTGATAAATTTCTCCAGGCTCTAGTAATCCTCTAAACAAAGCACCAAATTATCTTGCATTAATGAATATTATTTTTCTTAGTTGATCTAATTTTTTTTCAACCTTATTTTTCTTGGTTTATGTTTAATTGGACATTACTTAAGCTTGGTCTTGAGCAAACTGATGTCGTGATTTTTGTGCGTTAAAAATGTTTTCAAACATCATAACACACATGACAATTATGCTAAAAAATATGCAGCAGATCAATCACAATAAAATTTACTTCAGTATAATGTTTTCTCTTTTAAAATATTTAAAGTTGCAACTACTAGTGAAATAAGGTGTACTTTCAATTTCAAATCGTCACTAGGTTGCAAACGCAAGTATACATATCACTAATCCCGATTTTATATGTCAATACAATGTATATGATAATATTCTTATTTTTTTGTCTTGCTTATAGTTTTTTTCTTTTCAAGGACGCCTAAAACTTGATTACCAGCAACACCTAGGCAAAAACTTTACTTCGAAGCAAATAAGAATACAATTTTTATATTTAAATATGAGATTCTAAGCAAGTATACGTATCATTATCAAGTAATATATGACTTTTTGATTAAGCCCCGAATATCGAACCTACAGGGACAAGACTCAATATGCAACTAAAATCAGAAGAAATTAGATAACAAATTTTACTTAACAAAATATTCTTACTCAACCTATAGATGCAATAATAGGAATGAAAGTTCGATTCATTTTGTAAATTTTTTATAATTGAAAGTAAAGTAAACAACTAATTAAATTTAATTAGATATTTGTAAGAAGAAGACAGTATAAATGAAATATCTTTTTCATTATCATGAATTAGTAACAAGTATAGGAATTCTGTTGTGGAAGCATTCAAATTGTGTTGTGGAAAATATGAGTAATAATATTCTTTACCCCTACTAGACATGCTATAAAGAAAATTGGTTAATTTAAAGTTTGAATAAACTTGAAAAAGGGTTAGGTAGGAAAAATGCTAGCTCTCACTCTAGATTTCCCTCTTATCCCTCACCTGGGGGCTAACATCTCTTATCAAAACCTAAAACTATAAATCAAATTGGGGGTTTTAGCCTGTCACTCTAAAGTCCTCTAATTCTACACCCTTTAAAGTTTATTTTCCTATTTATTCACACTCAATCATATGTATTATATTCTCATCCATACAATCTCATGTGATTCTTACCATTTGTTGACTGAAACAATATCATCTCGGATCTTACAAGTTCTCACAACAGATATTAACATTTTAATTAGTCAAATCAAGAAGTAAATGTGGTACATGTTTAAAATTATCACAACTTATTCCAACATTAAAGATTAAAACTTCACACAACTTCCATCCAATTATTAATTACTTATCAATTTAAGGAAAAAGATAAAGAAAACTACTCAGAATTCATAGAGAAAACACAACCACACTTAAGTTTGAA